GTATGTGCGGCTGGGCTTGGGTGAGAGAGATATCTGTTTTGATATTTGTGGGTCATGGTAAAAGTGCTCGCATCGTAGTATATCCTCCGTACTACTACGATCTGTCTATGTACACATACTGTCTCGTTTCACGATCGTCACACGCTGTAGGGGAATCATAAGAGAATGAAAGGAGCCAACGAAATCATAACTGCACTACATCACCCGCTCCGGCGCAAAGGAAAACGGACTGCGCGGGAGATCGGGCGATCGCGGACTCAGCGCCTTGGCGAAGAGGTCCTCGCCCGAGTCGGCGCTGGACGTCCGCGCGATCGTGCTCATCGACGCGAACCCGTTGTTGTTCTCGTCGCGGTTCTGCTGCGCTTGGATTGACTCCGGCGGGTAATGCGCCACCGTCCGGACGGGTTCCGGCGCATCGGACTGCGGCGTCGGCTGCTGGATGCTATGGAACGAGGTGAAGGACGACACGGCGACGTCGGGGGTCATAGGGGAGAGTAGATGGTGGGAGGCCGCTGTCGTTGCTGGCTGTGTTAGTAGAAGTGTCCCCCTGTGTGGAAACGGGTAGGGTAGGGAGCTCACCATCTGACTTGGGAGACAAATCGCGCTGGCCCGTCTGTAACCGCAGGCCCTTGAGCTTTTCTCCCAATTTGCCTCCGGTGCCGGGTGAGACGGGCGTGGTCGGCCCCATGGGGTAGCGCGGGTCCGGATTACTCTGGATGGAATTCCTCTGTGACTCTGCATGCGATCCGACTCCGAAATTCGTCTCGATCCATTCCTTCTCCTGCAGCGCCATGTGTAGGGCAATCCCCTCTACGTTGGTGAGGCATTCCTCCCGTATCTCCTTGTCCAGCGACTGCAACCGTTTCTTCGCCCAGATCGTGTGCAGGACGCCCTTCTTGCCGGCGGACCGTCCGTCCGCGCCCAATTCCGGCGGGAAGATGGCCGGCAGGGGGTTCAGCTGCAGGGAGTGCTTGTTGGCAGCCGACTCCGTGGTCGGGGGTTCATACGATAAGGTGACGACGGGAGGGATGGTCACATGCGGTGGAAGGAGGAAGTATACGCGACGGGTGTGGTCGTTGGCTCGTTCGTCGGCGGGCAACACGGCCTGCTTACCCTCCCAGGAGACATGCCAGGCACCGCCAGCGGAGGATCGGGTCAAGTCATCATCCTCCCATTCAATCATCAAGATCTTCGTTCCCTCATTGGCCTTTCCGGCTTCGAATTCAAACCGAGCTAACGCGGTGATAGACAAACTACCCGTCGATACGCGGGGCGTCTCGAGGGCGGCAAACTCACTGTCGGGGGTGAAAGGCGGCGCTTGAGACATGGCGGGAGAGGAGGAGAGATACCACAAGGGAGGACAGGTGAAAGAAAAAAAAAAAAAAAAAGCAAAAAGCAAAAAGAAGGGAAGTAGTTTCCGAATCAGGAATAACACGAACTCGATTGCAGGATAGAGGCTCAGACTGGCTAACAGCCGGGCTGCGAAGATGGACGATACATCGGAAGAGGAGGAGGAGGTGGTGGTGGTTTGGGAGAAACGATCAATGGGCGGGAAACACTGGTGGATCACGGGATGAACGTCGGTTTTTAGCGCCACAAGTACTTTTTCCCTTGCAGTGGAAAACGGTCTGATTGTTGGTGCTATTATTCGTCCTTCCATCCAGAGAGGAATGGAGGAGAAAACCTCGTCTTGGTTTGAGGGGCTGACGATCGTGGGTTCTAATTATAGGTTTATAGTCTCTTGGCACGGCGGCAGGTCGACATCATTGTTTGTTTGTTACCCGTCGATCTACTACGCGCATCCTGCATATCTGCTTTTTATATCCCGAGTCTCCCGAGTATCCTGAGGATACTGAGGATCCCGGTGTACAATCTTTGGTATACTTACTCACCATGGCCAATCCTGTTCTAGACATGCAACAGAAGACAAATCACCTCCAAGTAGAAACATGTAACGTAGGGTTACCATCTATTCGTCTCATGTCAGCCAATGTCCGCATCATAGATCGATCACGAGACGATGAACGCACCACATCAACTTCCGCCCGGATCCGCCCAGGTCATCAACTCCCACGACTTGAAATGAGCCTCTGGAAAACAGGAGAGTGGAACCTCATCCCTGAATATCCACTTTTTTGCAAGATTCTGCCAGAAACCCCGTTCGATCGAATCCGTCACGGTAAAACTCACTCATCTACAGGTACGATACCGTATCGTACAACGGACGAGAATCTCCATTCACGATGATCAAACACGGAGAGACGAGGTGAGCGGCAATCAGTGGTGATAATGCAACCGAAGCCCCGGGCCAAGAATGTGATGCGATTAAGAGTCAACCCCGTCCTGCAGGGGAAGTGCTTAATTTGGCATTAGCCGGGGCCATCCACGCCATATCAGTCTGGGAATCTGATGAGAAAAGAACAATGGCACAATCTCATTGGTATGCCCATCAGGGCTCGAGAAGAGGGGGAAAGAATTCATCTGCAATGGATGTGGGAGTTGATGCACCACTTATCACAAGTGCTGGCTTGGTATAGCCGCCGGGCGCTGACTGATATCAAGTTGAAGCACTCGATGAAGATGGTGGAACCGGGAGATCTCCACCAAGGGGCTATTTGGCGTCAACATGAGCTATTCATAGAATTAGCATGCTGACTTCGGCCTTGGGGAAGGGAAAAGGACAGGCAGGAGAACCGACCATTGCCTGGTTTCTGCAATCGTTACCCGGCACTAGTCAAGGAGGGGTCTGGCTATGGGCTGCCAGGACATTTTTGATGGTATTGACTTTGGTAGACTGGGAGCAAGGTTTGAAGCTTGCACAAGACTCAATCACCCCCGTTGGCCTTATGATTCCATACGAACGGGCTACACGCATTCCAACAATCGCATCTTAATCCTCATGGCCCATCCGCACAGGATTCATTCATTGTATATAGCAACCACCAAAACCGTATCCAAATATAGAGAGACTGGATCTGGGGCGTTGCCAAAAATATCCACCCTTGTCTACACCCACCACTAAGACCCCCGGTCCTCCAGAAAAAGAATTGCCCAAAATAACTTCCTTAGTCTGTGATGAAAATAGAAAGACTGCAGGGAATACATGCCCTAGTGCTGTAGGCATGTCCAGGACGTGTGCCTACCCCTCCCCCTCCTTCCTACGCATAGCCTTCCCCTCCTCCCCTCTGTCTCCATCCTTGACATTGGTCGGTCACTGTCTACTCGACCTTCATCACAGTAGAGGGGCATTCACATCTCGGTATTGGCTGACCAGGATGCAGTGACTCCCCGGTCGAAATTCATCACAACGATCGGGCTAAACAGTAGCGCCGGATTGGTTGCTTATTCTAGTGGGTAGAATCCTTCCAAAGGACGGTCGACGCGCGACGATCCCTGTTGACTGGTTTCCATGGTTGATATCACGGCGGCAATGCAGGGTTAATTGTGTGATGATGCCTTTCATTGGATGGCGTTAACCGACAAGAATGAGGAAGTGCGATGTTCTCATACATTCTATTGGTCGATGTACTCCTAAAGGATCCAGCAAACGGGATCGAAATCGAAAAAGACAAAAAAGCAAAGAAAAGGAAAGAAAAGAAAGCCGTGGGCAAAAAAAAAAAAAAAAAAACACTCCTCAGGTAAAAAAAAAAAAAAAAAAAAAAAAAGACAAAAATAGGAGCGTAACGCCGACGGTTCCCACTCATCACTTTTCCCACGTCATCCGTCGTCCCCACACATTCTCCTGCCCCGCTGCCAATCATCAGCCGTTGCGCTGCGGACCGTCTGAGGGGAACGACTCCATTTCCATCCTGATTCAGTCTAGCGCCGGCGCTTAACTGCAGGTATCCATGTCTTTGGGTGTCGCCATGATTGGCTCTGATCTGACCTTTTTTTTGGGAGACCTGATGAAGCGCCAGTACTCTACCATTTCCTTTGCCTTCTCCCTCCCTCAATGGTTGGAATTGACGGATTGCTGGATGGAGGTGAGAATGATGGGCAAAAGTCAAAATTGAATGTCGTGTAGCCCCTCCGTCTTTGTTTCTTTCGAATTGGTAATCCCCTGAGTTGGGACTCCATTCCGATTGGCACCGTTGAAAGTGAACGTATGGGTGGTCATGCAGATTACCTGCGGCATGATTGCGGCGTAGGTGTCTACAGTGTAATCGGATGAAACACCTTCTCTGAGAAGTTCTTCTTCCATTGACCAGGATCCTGAAGCCACCGTCTTTTAGCCACCCGCCGTAGAATGTAGCCCCCTTACCCGTGCATTCTGCAGCGAACATGAAACGTCGAGCGCGTCTTCTCTACCAATCAGGACGGGTAGAGGACCAGAGAAGATCACGCTTGGCTTCGCGGTCGTCGATTGTGGAGAGACCCCAAAGGTCGAATAGGCTGCCGAGTTGCAGGGGCGAAACACAATCAGCCACCAGAGATTGCCTGAGATTAAGCCAACCGGCGGTTAGTTCCAGCTTCGCAGCAAGCAAAGTTTACGGGGGGGGAGTGATAGAGTAAAGCATCATCCTGCATCCTTCCACCACGGCTGGGTAGGGCTGGCGCCGTATCGTGTAAATTACATTCCGGTAATATTACACCAGCGGTATTCCACCAATACCCCATCAATCGACACAGAACAACTTTCAAACTACTGATAGAACCAACTTCCCCTCCAACCTTCTTTACTGGCTAGCCGGTTTTCATCACACTTGAATTGGTGTGTCGCTAGTCCTCGGTGGGTCTGAGTTGTACTAACTCTCCACGCTGCCGGATATCCTTGATCGAGGAGGCCATGGTTTGCATAGAGTTGGGCAACAACACGGAGAAATTCGTCCATTGAGCCGGGGTGGTAGGGTAGGAATACGCTAGAATGCATGTCACCACGTCTGTTTCGTTGATATCCCTTCCTATTTTTCCTGATAGCGGCTTCTCAACACCCCTCAGCCTCAGCCGCATGCTCGTCCGGGAGGGAAGCCCAATCGCCGCCGTTACCAGATCCTCGGGTCTCGTTGGCGTTCTTTGCTCGACCCTGCCCAAGGATCTCGCCGTCGGGCTGGCTGCGGTAAAGCTAAACCTGTGGGAATAGGCCATTGATTACCTGTGTTAGGTTAACACGTGTGAGCATCACAGACGAGAATAAAGACCGAGCGGGGCATCTGGTAAAACTATACGGCATCATATTGGATCCAGTCTGGCGGGTCGACACACCAACTCCAATATACCGGTGTCGGGAGGCCATCTTGAGCTCGGGCCTTCAAATTCAATTCACTGGCACAAGGCATCGGGTCAAAGCGGGATTCGCCCTATGGTAAACCGTCATGCGAACATGGCTGCTGCTTGTAAACATTAGTATGAGTATCTTCCTCTGGTCAAACATAATTCAAAAAGAGATTAGGATAGTTTCAACAGAAATCCATAGTTGCTTAGCAGGCCAAGGCAAAACACAATCTACACAGTTTGTAAACATGTAACGATAGAATTTAGTCAATAGCATATCATTTACATTCCTGTAAGGGCAATTAAGGAAAGTAAGGGAAACCTTCTGATGAAGGAGAAAAGCATTGACAGCCACCAGGGCATTACGTTAATTTTCTAGGAACATAGTAGAGAAGGACCCCGCATTGGAAAGAATTCAAGGAAAATCAAATTAACCATGGCCTATCCTAAGTAAAAGCATCTTCCTAAACACCAGAACGCCGAAAGCCTGCGCTAGTGCACCTGACCGTTTCCAAAATAAACTTTCATGATACCAGGCATTAAAGTTGCTAAGGCTCATTAGAGTCCTCGCGCTTTCTCCGCTTCCCCTTAGGCGGATCCTCGAGCTGTGTTCGTTTGAAGGTGATGGTATGAGTGATGACATGCCGCACGCTGAATCTGCCGCTGGGAACCGCGCTGTGCGGGCCTTCCCAGTAGCGCATTCTCCAGTCCGACGGAGACGCAGAGTACGGTGAATAGAGGGTGCTTGCGCTTCTGGGAGCCTCCGCAATCGGTGAATACCTGGGAGGGGGCGGGATACGTAAAGCTCGCAGGCTCCTCGGGTCTCTTCTGACTGGAGGTGCTGTGTACGGGGTTGGTGGTGGCAGCGAAGCCGCAGCTGATCTGGACGAATCACCATTGAAGCTGAACGTGCCACTGACTGCACTGGTTGGGCGTGAGGCAGGCTGGGATGTTGGAGAGTTTGATGCGGTAGAGTGGCCTTCCCTCAGGGTGTGGATCTTGGAAAAGTCAGGCTCCCCAGTGATGGGGGATAAGATAGGTTGAAACTTCTTGAGAAACTCTGTGTAGGCCGCGGGAGGAGTGATGGGTGTCGAGAGTGGTTCATCCCCTCTTCCATTACCAGCTGAAAGGCTGGAAGACCCTGAGTCCTCTTGAAGCTCAGATGGAAAGACCATAGTCCGGGGGGTTTGCAATGGATGGAGAGTTGGTTTGATAGAAGGCATCTTGGACGCAAAAGATCGACTGTTCAAAAAGAATACCAAGAGATCCAGACGAGTGAATGAATGAGAAAAGAAAGACGAGTCAAATCAAGTAACGGATGACACTGTAGACCACGCGCCTGACCTTTACACGTGCGTGGAAGTAGAGAATATAGTAGGAGTCATGCAATAATAGATAGAGCAGACCATATAAGTCAGACCACAGGGCGAGAGAGTTAGGCCGTTGGATCAGATGCTCTCAAAGAGAAGATATTAAGGGAAACCTCTTTCTTGACCTCTCGCTGGTCCTCAGTAGAAGAAAGAGAAGAAAGTCAGGACGCGGAGTGAGATTTATGTTATAAAGTTGAGTTGCAAGACAGGCGGGCGCTGCAATACGGGTAATAACGTTCACAACGGTATCGATACAATACCGATGGCGGTAATCTTTCAGCGTAAGGGTCAGTGTCACGCTTTAGCCCGCAAAGGGGTTAGTGTATCGCCCTCCCTCCGAAGTGCGCGGCTGCAGTCAAGCAACAACAAGAGCAAGAGCAGCTGAGCACCTCACGAATCAGAGCATAGATTTACCAGATTGTAGGATTGGTGGCAATTCCTGGCCGGAATCTAGCAGTGCCGCAGCAAAGGTGCAGAGACAGCGACCGTTGCGGCCGAAACAAAGGGCTTGATCTTCACGAACTTCAGTGAGCTGGGCAACCAGAAGAGGGGAACGATGATCGGTGATGTTTGATCCTGAAAGTCGTCTTCTACCTTCATCTGTCGTTCTCATTATACCTTGGCAGACTGGGGATTGCGCTTTCTGCTTCTCAGTCCAACATCTGAATACGCAGCAGCCAACAAACACAAACTACAAGAATCCTCCGGCGCCTTTTCTGCATCAAATCCCACATTCATCACGAATCGCCACATGGGAACTACCTTATCACCCCGGGCGACAGTTTAATTATGCTTCCTCAAATCGTCAATCTTGGGTGTAATTGTCCCTTTTGGTTCGCTCAACGTTAACGCGGGCCACGACACTAGGGGGCTAGCGGCGGCTCGCCCTCGAACCGCAACCCTGACGAAGTCATCGCTCAAGTGGACTCCATCGTGCTTTACCTTTACTTCGTTGCATCCCTAGTCAATCTGTTAAACCCTTGATACACCGTTTATGTTAGCTTTGTTGCCGGAAGGAGTGGGCTGGCGGTTACGACCCGTTTAGCGCTTCCATGACTTTTCGATGTCACACACAAGGCTGCCCCGGACTATGTTGGAGCTTGTGCCCATCATACACTAACACGAGACATCTCCCAAGCGCTGAAACTACAGGAATTCTCCACTGATCTAACGGGCGTGGAATTTAGTATCTAGCTCGGCGTCTTGCTACCCTGTCATACCAACTCTTGCAGAATGATTTAGATTCGGCGATACGTGCTTGTAGATCTAAACGTCGTGATCATATCCACCCATCTGCCCTACTCAACTACGGCGGTTGGATGATTAGATCTGACGCCGTGAATACCAAAACCGCGAATTTATCCATGGGTTGACAGGTAATTACCTTCATATGCAAGCTGACCAACCTTACACGGACAGTATCTGTGCTGTCATCGCTGCTGGTACTAGTGCACTCTTCCTGCACTTGTTATTCGGCACGTTGACATCTTCTAGTCATCCGGCAGACGTCTTCCCTGTCGCTCCTGCGTGAAACAAGAGGGGAAGACTGGTAGTATGTTGGCTAAACCAGGTCATGTAGTCCAATAGGTGGGGCCATACGCTGTTGGACACTACTCCAAAGCCAATCTAGACAGTAGTACATGCCATAGTTCTTCAAGAAGGGAGTTGTGAACTGCTCGCGACCTATACCTCCAATCAACGATGCTCTATATCGGTCGTTGACTTCTCTTGGCCTTTCACGTTGCTTCCAGCATCTCCATTGGTTGCTGCTGTATGCCACAATGAGCCGTTCTACTGTATTACCTGGCACCAACCCATGTGAAATCTCTCTAACACTGATATGCAGCCAAGCAGTGGTAAGGAATTCCCCTCCTTCCCCGGCCTGCCTTTCCCTCCATTCAATTTTTCTTTGTTTGGTTCTTTTCCACTGGTGACATTCTTTTCCCGTCCGTGTGACTATATCCAATGATCCTTCGCCCGCTTTATTCTCTCCCGCGTATTCGTGGAATACAACCATTCCCTGAGTTAATTGCAGTGGGCAATCCTCAACAGGCTTGCTATTGTGAATGTGCACGGCTATGAATGATGCTACAGGTCTCAGTTAATTAGGTGACCCGGGAATATTGGCAGTGTATGTCATGTAGTGAAGTGATAAGTAGACTATAATACCAGCTCTTTTCCTCAAGGTCTCGCATCCCCTCCCAACCCTTCTTCTTAACCTTCTTAACCTACACGAGAGCCCAACTCATGGTAAAAGATATGTGCCTATCTGCCCAGTCACCGTACCTCAAATGGTATGCAAGGTCATTTTAAGGCTGCGGTGGACCCTGCTGTTCATTCATAACGATGCTTCCAAGTAGGAGGGAGCAGTACAGGGGTCATCTGAAGCACAGGAAACGTGTTAAATCATCTATCTCTCAGGAGGAGGGAAGAGTCAGGAAGAGAGGTATCCCTCTTAAGGTACTGTTTGTGTGGCGTTGACTCCAAGAAACAGATTTTCCGCCTCAGGTCCAAATCAGCTTCTTCCACCGACAATGCCACCAATTATTACCCCAGAATAGTGTCTAAACCTTGGCCGAACATCGGAATTAAACTATCTGAACGTGCATCGGCATTCCTCAGAGCAAAATGCGGGGAAGGTGTATAACCCCAACTTCTTCAAGAATACGGAGACTTTCCCCGTTTGGAAAGCTCAGGCCCCTTGACTGGTGGAAAAATGCTTGTTTCAATATCAGATCGCGGAGCTTGACCGGAACAAAAGAACACGAGCCGGTCGAGCGGAACTAATATCTTCTTCGAAACGCAGAATCAGGACTGCCTATGCTGCATAAGGCATTAGGGCTTTTCACTAGGATCAAATTGCAGGATTATGGGTGATCTATATAACTATCTCCCGGAGCTGATCTTGCAAAGTGAAGTCACTCTGCCTGCGACCAACAACCAATTCCTATAGCTACACATTACTTGCTGATCACCTCAAACCTCTCTGATTCCCCGTGTTCCCGCGTTTGTATCCCGTCATCATGAAATTCACACCATCTTCGGCGGCCTTGATGCTCGGCGCCATTGGAGCTGCCACTGCTCAAACTGTCTACTTCTGTGGTGACAGCACCATGGCCGCGAAAGGTGCCAACGATGGCGACACCGACGGTTGGGGTACCTACATCGGCGATCTCTTGACGGTGCCCGCCGTGAATAAGGCTATTGGCGGCCGCTCAGCCCGGTCTTACACGAATGAAGGTCGATTCCAAGCCGTTGCGGACTTGGTTGTGGACGGAGACATTGTTGTCATCGAGTTTGGACACAACGACGGCGGCTCCCCCGAATCCAACGACAATGGCCGCTCTGACTGCCCGGGAGCCGGTACTGAAACGTGCATCTCTGATGCAACGGGCGAGACCGTTTACACCTTTGTCTTCTACGTCATCCAAGCAGCCAAGCTCATGCTAAGTAAAGGGGCCACTGTCATCCTCAGCTCTCAGACACCCAACAACCAGTGGGAGGGTGGCTCTTATGGAGGCTCGCCTGGCCGGTTCGTGGGCTACCAGAAGGTGGCCGCGGATGCCCTTGCCTCCGCCGATGTCACTTTCGTCGACCACTTCCAGGCAGTCAGCAACATGTACCTGCAGCTCGGCTCCGATGCTGTCAACGCCCTATATCCCAATGACCACACCCACACGAGCCCCGAGGGCGCCAAGCTTAGCGCCCAGGCCTTTGCGCAGGCTATTTATCAGGCAATGAACGGCACGACTTCCTTGAAGGGGCACATCGCGGAGCCTGTGACCATTGTGTACGAGTAGTCTATATATGGAACATATGGAAAATTCTGCGTCGGCATAGGGCATGTCAAGAGCTGATGTCCAATCAGATCTATGAAGTGCTTGCTAGGAAGCCCCGGGTCTCCCGTTGTCAAGACTCACCCCAAGGCCAACACCAATTATTGGACGTGTTAGCATTTGTCCATATTTACCAAATAAAAACCGTTGGACGTTTTCACTACTCTCGAATAGGCCATTTAACTTAATTAACGTTGCAGAATTAATGCTGAGCGGTGCCACAGACTGCCACCAGAGCCCATAGTGGCTCCAACGTGAACAATGATGGTTCAAAACCGCCGTGGTTTGTTTAGATTACTGTACAACCTTTGAGATTGAATTTCCAATGAACCGCAGCTGTTGCTATTTCAGTATACCGTGAAGATGAGTCCCGACACACAATATCACCCCTGGCCTCCAACCTCGTGATCCGCTTATCTCCTCCAGTGGTTCCGTTCCTCAGCGCATAAAGCAGAGTAGTCCAGGTCTGCATAGTCTGCCCGGATAGGTCTCGACTTGTCCATACTGGCAGCATCTTCTGGTGGAAACAGCCCTCGGGCATGATCCACGACCGTAATGGTCGTCCTGTTCTAGCGGGACAGCTTTGTGGGAGCTCAGGAAGTGCTCAGGCCAAAGACACCTGACCAGGCATAGTCGTGATTGTCTCAGCGTAGTGCCTCTCTAAATGTCGCATTCGACGAAGCGAAACTCAGGATATATTCGGTAAATAGACATCCAAGAGGACAGATGACTTGCTGGAACTAGATTCACAGGGGCAGCCGAGTTATTTTCAGTGTACACCATCCCATTATGTCTCAGAGTGGGAGTCTACCTATGTCAGAGGGCCTCGACAAAAGCATACACAGAGTTATCAAGTACCTCTGTACCTATGTTCAAAACACACCATTCAGCGCACCTTGTTAATCCTGACTCCTGGATTGCAAAAGCCTTTTCATGTACCTGCAAGGAGCAGATCCCCTCATGACGATTACCCCCATCACTGCCGTCTATTGTACACTGGGTCTTCAACACCAGATATCAGAATTTCACTATCTTACCATTTATCATACGCGTTAACTCGTTACAGAAGGAATATCCAAACACAAACAACCTCACAAAGCATATCATCAAACACGTCGACTATGACGACCTAGGGAGATCCATATCATCAAACACGTCGACTATGACGACCTAGGGAGATCAAAGGCAGAGTCCAAAAGGGGTAGGCATTCAATTCGGGAGCTGGAAAGAGGACTCGGTAAGTATAACGCCAGATATCCCAGAAATATCCCTTGACTCTGTGATAGCAGTCAGTTTAATGAGACAAAGCGGCTGGAAGCTCAGACAGCGCATCATGCACGTATGAGCAGCTACCAACTAAGACATTGAGGAATGATCCTCGTTGCTGGGCAGTAAAATAAGTGGATATACCTTTGCCTGCAAATAGAGCACCCAATCAACATGCGTGGTTCATATCCCTAGCCACGAATCGAATGCGAGCCGTGCGAGAATAGTGCCTGCCATCACCCCAATGGCCCCAGGAGCTCCATGTATGTGACAGCGACATAGAAAGTGGGACCATCCCCTGTCAACAAACAAGCCAAATGCTTGGGTCGAGTCTATCGTTTGGGTCACAGCTGTTGTGGTTCTGGATCTGAAATTCCTTGGTCCTGTGGTGTCTCTGACTTCCACCTCTCGGAGCAAAGGGCATTTAATACGCTTCAAAAGAAGTTCTAAAGACTTGAGTCCCTGCGATACCATACCCCAGATTTCCAGTTTTGTATTATGACGGATTTTATGACACATTCCAGTCCCCTTAGGTTCTCTCAAGTCCACTTCGCGTCTGCATTCTTCCATGAACTCAGTACCGAGTTAGACAGCTCGAAATAGAGGTCATGGAGCAGTTGTCTATCATCTGAAAGATAATTACAACCACGACGCGGTGTCCAAAGCCACCTGTTCGAATGGCAGTTTTAGCCGGTACGTTTCCTAAGTCGTATGTTACGGAGCAGAACCACTGGCCAACAGAACCAGAAGTATTCTTGCGTGATGCAAGCCATCTAAAAGGTCCATCATATGATTGAAGCGGCATCGAAACCTGTGCCCTAAACCAATTTCAACTTGCTTTGTGTCCTGGTAAAGGGAAGGGAATGACTTCCATTCTGCAAGAATACTAACGCAGACCCTAGCAAACCGATTCTAGGTATACGTCCCGTTTCCAGCCACTATTCGCACTAATCGTGGCTAATTTAATGGCATAGGTTCAGAGACATGCACTTCGGCATAACAGGCCATATAAAAAGTCCGTTGCGTAGGGAAAAGGGTGCGTATCTGGATTATGTCAGTTGTCCGGCGAAGTAGGTGGACTCTATGCCTGGTCAACTAGAGCTTGGTTCGTCGTGCGGATTCCGGAGCATCGACGTGAGATCCAACGAGTTGAGTCTGACACAAACCTCGATGTACACTATAGGTACATCCGAGAGAAGACAGATAGAATGCCAGAGCTTGGGATCGAAAGTGCGGATAGTCAATGGCTAATCCGCCTTCTCGAGACGGTTATCATGATCGTGCTGGGTACGTTCAAACCGGGATCCGCCCCGTTTCTTACTACTGTGCAATCACCATAGCTATCAGTGTAAGCACTGATTTAATATCCCGTCGAGTTACGTGGGACATCAGCATTCATATCAAATACGGGATAAGACTATTCATTGTTCCCGGACGGACTATCCTTATGGACCAGCTCATATCCAGACTATCTCAGTCCGGTTCTTAGATTCGGGGCTGGCTGGTTCATATAGCTAATTCGCAGTATATTACAACATACTGGTACTCGAAAGCTTCCAGAACGGCTCTCTTCGTGAGGTGGACACCGTGATCGGCAGTACGCAATTCAGCCAAGGATTTTATTGGAAATTCAAAACTTCAAATCCTGACAAGCCTAAGGACAAATTCTCTCTGGAATGTAAGTTGACCCCTCTAAGTCGACACCACTATTTCAATAGACCGGCTGCACAGCGGGAACATTACGCCATGGCCTAAAGGCCCTATGCGCTTGGTTCTGTGAATAAAGGTTTACATACATGGACTAACTGTGTTTAGCATAATACATACCACATAATGATCTGTAAGTATATCTCCAGCTTTGGAAAAACACGTGGACAACACGCGCAGCCACAATGTAAACCCATCACGTCCATTTCTTAGTTTCCTGTCTACAACCACCACCTCTACCTACACCTGGTAAGTTGATTCCATTTGCGCGATATACCAGCATCTCCAGCCTCATCAGTCGTGCCGTTCAACCGTGCGAGAGCTGAGCAAGCAGCCGTCTGCCTGTGACCATCTCCACCAAGTAGAGCAGCGCTCCAGGCATGTGCAGAGGCGCTAGAGTCACGGCCTTGGTCTTAGCTCCATGGCATAAAGCCCTCCCCGAGTATTCGATAGGTTGAAAACTAGGAATGGTCCGTGCTAATGGGTTTCACATTAAGCTAAGCGCCATCAAAAAGAAAACACATGTAAGTCGATCTCCCAGGAGATAAACAGACCGGCTGCACAGCAAAAACATTACGCCATGGCCTAAAGGCCCTATGCGTTTGGTTCTGTGAATAAAATGGAAAGATATGGACTGACGGGGTTTAGCCTAATAGAGACTATCTGCCATGTAAGTTGATCCCCGTTTCATAGCCAGTACGATTTCAATGAACCGGCTGCACAGAAGGACCTTTGCGCCGTGGCCTAAAGGCCCTCCACGTCTAGTTTTGTGATTACATGGACTAACTGTGTTTACCCTAAGACATAAAAAATAACAAATCATGATATGTAAGTATATCTACAGCTTTGGTGCCACGTGGAGTTTACCAGGGTTTTTCGTCTTGGGCTCTGTAAGTATATTGAATATACATGGACTGACTTGTTCTAGCCTAATAACTACTATCTGGGGGAAAGCAGAGCTCCTTGCTTATAAGGGTAAGTTGTATCAATATCCATCTGTGTACACTATTTTGTAACAGTTGGTTAGCAATGGTATCCTCGGTATCCTAACAATCACGGCAACGATGCTACCGTCTTGTTTTGGCCAACCGCCTTGTTTATCATGGATATTCGACCCTCCAAGCGGATTTAACCTGGATTGATAGCAGGGTGTTATCCTATGCTTGGTACCCGATCTTGGTACCGTATGATGTCGTCGTTCATCCTGCAGTGATGCTCCTCGCCTTTTGCGCAATGCCGGGTTCAGTCGGGGTCAATCTTCCGTTCGAGACATCCTTGAGATAGACTATCAAGCGTGATATCACTCGGCCAAAAGACCTTAGGCATTTGGTCATGCCTCCAACCGATCAATCCGGCCAACATAGACCATCTATACAAAGGCAAAGCACTAGCAGGACAGAATATTCACTATGGGACCAGCCAGTATTAAGCTCTCCAATTCATAGGCGGCCATGATGCTGGCGACCCACGGCCGTCACAATAAATGACCGAGAAACTTTGCAAGCGCACTTGAAAGTTGAAGACGTTGTGTCAAGATTGCTTAAGCGTAAATATCAGGCGAGGTAGAAGCGGACACAACTGCGTTGAAGACACGCTCGAAACTAGAAAAGTGTTGCTTTGATGCCATTGATCGAATTTTGAAAAACATGGATGCAGAGGATGTCATGCAAGGTCCACAAACAGAGAGAGAAATGCGACTAAACTACTACAGTTGTATTCTTACCGGGTTTCTTGAACCGTTAAAGTTGCACACATATACCCATACAGCCTCGGACATAAGGAGGAAAATGAACCTCGAAGACTTCTGGGAAATTACGAGACTTTTCCGGACCCCAAAAAAGGTCAATGCCTAGCTTGTTGACAATCCGACATCTTGGCCCAGATACAGTTGCAGCACACCCCAAGAGACCCGAGGCATTCCATTCTTCCTGACGTTTAAGTTCTCCGAATGGGTTTAGATCCTTCCTCCGTGTCTAAGCAACGATTAGCTTAGGGGTGAGAGTGTGTCGATTTGACTATTCGGTCAAAGATCATAATCTTTGACCGAGAGAATCGCTTAGTCAATCTGGTAGAGAAAGAGGAATCTCTACTACAACAGGACCTTTTCTGTTGCCATCAGATGGAACACCGATGACCGTGGAGCACACCTGGATGCTGACAAATTCCAAGCTATATATCCTGTGTGTGTTCCGAGAAACCGAATGGTTGGTCAAGAATGTTTCTGATAACACCAAGCCGCGGCTTGTAACTTTTATGAGCGTGGGCTGGAATATACGGGTGACGATAGGTGCATCTCCTATTCCAGTTTGGAGTTGACTGGTGCGGGTCGAATTATGGGTTTCTTTAGCGCGGCCTGCGTGCAGCACCTACGTTTGGGCCAAGAGGATTTCGAATTATCGACAAACACGGTCTTTCTGCACTAAAAGACATGGCGAATCCAGGGGCAACAGGATCGCTGATAAAGCCATTCGAGCTGAAGGTCTGCTTGCCGCTGAAGCGAGCAGCATGGGCGGTAGCCTTCTGTCCACTGACGATACGCCTCAGGACACTGAGATGGTTGGGACTAGTGTTCACAGTCGCTATTGTGGAGGCCAAACTATTCTCAACTACTACCTAGGCTTATTGGTATATCCATATAATTGGGACTGCGTTGAATTCTAACTCGACGGCGATATGGATCGATCCCGGCGCCAATTCGGAAACATACAAACCATGTATGGAATTGTTGCAGATTGACGAAAGGGCGTGAAGGGAACGTACTAGTGGATGTACTAATGAGGAATATAGAGGTCCGTACGTATCACTTGGGCAGCAATTAGGAGAGGTATGCCTTCCTATCGTTCAACCATGTTTCGCCAGGGATAGACAGCAACAGCACCGACCACTTGCTACCACTAACTGGTTGGCTGCGAGGAAAGAGGGATGTGGTTGGCAAACCTTTTCTTTTCCAAACACACAGGCCCAATTTGGTAGCGGCGAATGTACAAGACATAATCAACTGCGCCATTTACCGAATAGCAATGCCAGTAATGCGATCTAATTTTGGTGTGAACGCTCAGGGGACCATTGCTATCAAAGATGAAGACACTAAAGAACGCGAACCTAACACATGGATACCCTTATAGCTAATACGAATAAATTATCCAATTCTCAGGCTGGCTGAACAGTTTCGTTATCGCCCTGCTTTTGCTCTATGGCCAAATTGAAGAACTTACAGTCAGGTATTGCAGAGCCACGAATAACCAAACTGAACACTGTCAATCCTCGGTCTCTTGACACTATGAGAGAGGTTTACAGACTTAACAAGAAAGACTATGGGGCAGACCCCCGAGCTCTTGGATGCTAGGATTATGTTCAAGATTCTTCACTCAGGGGCTACTAAACAATTCCATGAACCTGGTTACAAGCATGAAGACAGGGGTGAGTTCACTTAACGGTGGCAGGAAGTCATCTTTATTCAGAACCGCCGGCATAGAGAAATAGTGGATCCTCTGCTAGATATCGATCCATCACAGCCTGAGAAACCTGTCCTCCCAAGTCACAGAGATGCGATAATCCCACGAGTTATGGGTGCATCGGCGAAGCATTCCGTCAGACCATTCAATCGGGGCAAGCCCATGGCCAAAGTCAATATTTATCACGACATAACAGCACAGTGTCCAGAAGGCACATTTTCCTGTCATGTTCTCGGACTTTCGTTCGACGTCTACAGGCGCAAAGTAGCCCAGGAAGTACAAAACCCTTTGGATTCAAACACGATTACCAGAGGAAGACCGAAGTAGATTCCATTATAAACAAATTTGCCGCGAGGTTGTGAATTACATCTCCTGCGTTGATTGTTAAGCTCGTGGATCCCCATAGCTTTACCGTTTACATCCAGGAATATTACCGCAGTAGTTCTCCCGGCAGTGAGAACAGGACCCTCACACGATCTATATGTATGTTGTTTGACCACGATACTATAATTATATTATCGTATCTAGACATACCACAGATTGAGTACCCAAAGACTAACGAGAACCTGGGATATCTTAATTGTGCGATTGTGCTGAAGAAGCCGGTGATTAGCACCATAGACTCACTCGTTTCGCTAAACCTTCTATATCCTGCGTGCTTGCTCGGCTTGGTTATCCTCGGACTGATGATTTGGTGGCGACTACCTGGGCCAGGAGAACTATCTTTCGATGACAAAAGTACTCGAGGAATTCGATATGTATTACCACCACCAGAAGAGTACAGAGGGCAGATCACATTTCATATGGCTCAGAAACATGTACCATGGAGGCGAACAAGATTTAGTACGTATAGATCTAGCGTACTTCCTATGGTATGTTGCTCTTCGAATAAAGTAGGACTGATTGTCCTCCTATCCCTATTACGCCAAACTTTGCTACACTCTACGTCCTTCTAGCACATCGATAGTTCCAGTGTTTCCAGCTCAGAATATGTTGGACGAATGTGGGAATGTCCCTAGCCAGCAGATAATTCACATCTGAGGTCTATGGGGAATCAAATTCCAAATTGTGTCATGAACCAATATCTATTGGCAGGACAGAATTCGCCAACCACTGCCCTTGTCATAGAATAATCGATGAACATAGTCCTGGGTAGATCTATGACAGTTGTTGAAATCGCCGGCCACCGCGTGAATGATACTATATTGGCAATGAGACTGGCCAGACCAGGAGGGTGTGCATCATAGGAAGAAATACTGTTGTGAGCACCACTCCGGTCTACACTCATGAGCACAGGTGTGCAACGATTCAGCTGCACCGCGACTCA